AATGTCCATAGATGAATGAATGGATAAAGAAGATGTGGCATATATATATATATATATATATATATATTGCTGCATAATAATCCATAGGATATCCTATGGATCCAAAAGGGTGAAATCTTGACATTTGCCACAACATGGATGGAACTAGATGGTATTATGCTAAGTGAAATTAGTTAGTCAGAGAAAGACAAATATCGTATGACTTTATTCATAGGTGAAATTGAAGATATAAAACAGATGAACATAAGGGAAGGGAAGCAAAAATAATATAAAAACAGGGAAGGGGACAAAACACGAGAGACTCTTAAACACAGAGAACAAACTGAGGGTTGCTGGAGGGGTTGAGTGTGGGGATGGACTAAATGGTCAAGGGGTATTAAGGAAGATGTTTGCTGGGATGAGCACTGGGTGTTATATGTAGGGGATGAATCACTGGAATCTACTCCTGAAATCATTATTGCACTATATGCTAACTGGGGTGTAAATTTAAAAATTAAAAAAAAAAAAAAAGGATGTGGGTATCTGTTGCCCTAAATCCTTTTATGTCTTTGGCCAGCTGAGTAGTTGAAAAAATTGTCTTTGCATTGTTTTGGTTTCAAGTGAAGATGAATCTCTTTGCATGTTTACTGGCCATTTTGTGATGCATTTCCTTTGCCCATGTTTTTTAATCGGAGTGTTCAACTTTATTTTCTTGTCGATTTGTGAAAACTCTATATTAAACATTCCTACCCTTACCATATGTGTTGCTACTGAGTTAACACTTAAAAGAAGATTAAAACTAAAATATAATCATAAGGCAAGAAAATATCTTAACCACTAAAATAAAAAACAAGAAACATGTTACTTTATTTTTTTAAATGTTTTTATTTATTTCTGAGAGAGAGAGACAGCATGAGCAGGGTAGGGTCAGAGAGAGAAGGAGACACCGAATCTGAAACAGGCTCCAGGCTCTGAGCTAGCTGTCAGCACAGAGCCCGATGTGAGACTCGAACCCACAAACCATGAAATCATGACCTGAGCCGTTTAACCGACTGGTCCACCCAGGTACCCCAGGAACATGTTACTTTAAAAACGAGATAATAAGAAATTCCATGGAGACAAAATAAAGCCCAGACAGAAATAGAAAACTTTAGGTAAAGAAATAGAAAAAGAAAAATGGAAAAATAAAAATAACCAGTACCAGTCAAATCAAAGAGAAGTTCAGGAGGAATGCCTACATTCTAATTTATATCACATAAACCATCCATAAGAAAATTAAAAAACAATCCGGGGTACAGAGAACAATAATAATGATTTATCCCAAGTACTCCAGGGACAGTGTCATGGACTTTTCTTTAATCAAGGTGTTTGCAGAGATCTGCACAGATCAAAATGAGGAACAGTATCCAAATCCTTCACAGTACTCACTTGTTCAGGCCATTAGCAAATCCTCCTGAGGAAGCCAAATCCATTTAAAGCGACTTTTAAGAAGGGCAACCGATAAAAAGGTAGGCAAGGAAAGAATTACAAAAACAGGATGGAGTCGTGATGGAAGCAGGTTAATCTGTCATTTTAATTGCATTGTCTCTTCTTTTTGTTCACTAATTAGATCGAGAAGCTATTAGAGTTACAGACGCTAAAAAGTGACTCTTTTTGGAGAAAGCTTAAACAAGAAGATGCCTTACCCCACCAACTCCAGGTTTCATATAAGATAAATTGAATCCATCATGGGATACCAAGGAGGTCCACTTAAGAGTGTTTTTTTCTGAGAGTACAGGACAGTTTATCTTTAAATAGGAAAAAGATATGCATAAACTTGTTCCATGTCCATTTAGTCTTCACAAAGTAGTATGAGATCAGTTTCACTATTTCCCCATTTTATCTATGAGAATACAAAGGCCCACAAAGTCCAAGTGATTTAACTCATTAAGGTGCTAACAGTATAGGAGAGCCTGGTGGGCTCAGTTGGTTAAGCAACCAGCTTCAGCTCAGGTCATGATCTCACAGTTCATGGGTTCGAGCCCCATGTTGGGCTCTGTGCTGACAGCTCGGAGACTGAAGCCTGCTTTGGATTCTGTGTCTCCTCTCTCTTTGCTCCTCCCCTGCTCATGCTCTGTCTCTCTCTCTTTCTCTCTCTCTAAAAATAAAACATAAAATAAAAATAAAAAGGTGCTAACAGTGTGTGCTATGGAGCTGGAATCGAAAACAACTCTAGGTCACTGCTACCCAATGGAAATATAATGTAAGCCACATTTGCTATTTAAAATTCTCTAATAGCTACATGTAAAAATAAAAACAAATAGTGGCACCTGGGTGGCTCCAGTCAGTTGAACATCTGACTCTCGATTGTGCCTCATGTCATGGTCCATGGTTGCAGCCCCTCATTGGGCTCTGCACCAGCAGTGTGAGCCTGCCTGGAATTGGCTCTCTCTCTCTCTCTCTCTCTCTCTGACCCTCCCCCTCTTGCACTTTTCAAAATAAATGGCTATACTTTAACAAAAAAACAATACTAAATAAATAGGTGAAATAAAACTTAATAATATATTTATTTTTAAATTTCTTTTTTTATGCTAAATATTTGAAACCCACTATGTCTTTTACATTTATAGCGTGAATGCCTTAATTTGCACAAGCCACATTTCAAATACTCAAGTGCATTTCAAGTACTCAACAGCTATGCATGGCTAGTGGCCGCCACGATGGACAGCCTGGTTCTAGACCAGTGTTTCTCAAGATGTGGTACCCAGTTCAGCAGCAGCAGCATCACCAGGAAACTGTTAGAAGTATAGATTCTCATCCTCCATTCCAAACCTACTGAATCAGCCCCTCTGGCAGTGGGGAAGACCAATCGGTATTTTAACAAGTCCCTTCTGATCATTCTGCTATATGCTATGGTTTGAGAACCATGGCTCTAGACAATTGCCTCTCCATCCCACTTCAAATCTAGGACAGCCAGGCAGGCTAAGTACTAAGAAGAGGAGTCTCTTTGCTTAAGATCAACAATTCTTGGCTGCATGAAGCTGGCATTCTTGTGTATGAAAACCCTCTGGTCCTTGCTGTGGTTCCATTTCTTGGGACTTTGGAATGAATTACTAGACATATAATTTAAACATGGTTTCATTTACCATTTTGTTTAAAGGAGGAAAAAACACCCCACACTAACCACCCTGTATTATTACTTGAGTTTAGTTATTAAGTTAGTCTCAGTTTCCTCATCCATAAAATGAGGATCCTTTAAAAAATGTTGGCAATTTTAAAAACATTTTTATTTATTTATTTATTTTAGTAATCTCTACACCTAATGTTGGGCTCAAACTTACAACACTGGGAGCAAGAGTTGAATGCTCTTCCCACTGAGCCAGCCGGGAGCCCTGGGCAACTTTTTTTTCAAGGTACAGTGTACAAAAAAGAAGTCAGCAAAGTGACTGATATTTTTAAACTATGGTTACAAAAAACTAGTGGGCAGGAGAGGTAATTTAGATTTTGAGCATAGAAGCAGAAGCTAATTCACTTCTAAATCTCAGAACATTAGATTTGCTGAGGTGGGGAGGGTAGGGTTGTTGCCAAAATTGCTAAGGAGAATCAATCTGAGTATGCCTTAAAGGAGAACTTTCAGTAAACAGGAATTACCTATAAAGAAAATCAGGAAGCCAAAGTGTTTCTTTTTATGAAGTTACATCCTGCCATAGAAAAGCTGGATAGGAAATAAAGACTGATGCGCTCCCAACTGTACACTAAACCGGTTATTATTTCATCAAGGAAAATCTGAGCAAAAGCTCAGATTCAGTGAAGGAAAAAAACATGAGAAGGCTACATGTCACGAGAAACCAAAGAGACCCAATGGCTACAATTAAATATGATTTGGGGAAAACCTCTACAAACAAATCTCTACCCTAATTTCAGATTCTTTAGTCTACCCCTGCCCTCTCCACCCCTCCCCCTATTTTAGTAATACTTCCTCCAGACTTTTGCTTGAAAATAATGTGTGTCCATGAAAATACGAGACTAATAGATTAATCTCAATGTCCACCTTCTCCCCCCGCCCCGTCTCTTTCTCTTTATTATTATTTTTTTAAATTGTGTGTTTCCAGGATTCTCTTGTTTTCCAGGCTTCTATGATGGTTTTTCCAGGTTGCTTGGCACTCTTAAGTTTGATTAGAGAAAACGTTTTCACCACCTAACACTTTCCCAATTTCCCACCTAACACCTACCTTCAAATGAAAAGACACCAGAAAGGCAAGATAGCCCTTTCTGGAGGCAGGTTCCCATGGTATGGGGGCAATGGCAGATGCTTTTCTGCAGTGGCAGCCGCAACCTTCCGCAAAGCAGAACTGCAGCTCACACTCTCCCCTACTTCCCCCGCCCAAACCCACTACCTCGCAAGTCCACACAATCCTTAAAAGCATACACACAACTCCTCCAACCTCGCATCCCCTCTCACACCCCACACCGCACGCACGCCAGGATGCCTGCTGCCACAGCAACGCTCAACCCACCCGGTGGCCCCACCCCTTTCAGCCCCGCCCCCGCCCAAGGCACCAATGATCGCCACCCGCAGCTCCCGAAGGGTGCGTTGATAGGGGGGCAGGACCTGCCACTCTCGGCGTGCGTCCCGCCCACTCCCCACTCGGGCTGGGGCTGGAGGGGCCGGAGCATCAGCGCGAGTAGCTTCGAGCAGCCGCGGTGGCGGCGGCGCGTTGTTGCAGTTGCGCCATCTGTCAGGAGCGGAGCCGGCGGGGAGGGGGCTGCCGCGCGAGAGGAGGAGGGGTCGTCGTGACCAAAGGCCGCCGAGACCCGCCCGCCGGCCGGCCTCGAAAGCCGAAGCAGGCTGCTCTCGGAGCCCCGCGTCCTCCAACGTCCCGGCGCGCGGCGCTTCTGCCAGCGCACCGAGAGCTCCCTGGGCGCACACAAAGCCGCCGTCCGCGCCAGGGAGGGATCCGGCCGCGGGGCCGGGGACACCCGGCGCCGCCCCCTCGGCGCTCTCGGAAGGCCCACCGGCTCCCGGCCCGCCGAGGAACCACCGGAGCCGCGTCGGCCGCGCCGGAGGAGGGCGGGGAGAAGACCATGTGAATGGGCTCCGGAGCCTGAGCGCCGCGCAGGTAAGCGGCCGGCGATGCGCCGTGGGAGGCCGTGGGGATGCAGAGCAGACGCGGGCCACCGACGCCCCCGCGCCGCGCCGCAGTCTCCAGGCCGTCGCCGCCGCCTCCGGGGCGCCCCGCGGGGCTGCCGGGGAGTTGGCCCGGCTCGGAGTCTTCCCGCGGCCGCGCGGGAGGACACCCCTGCGGGGTGCGGCGCCGAGGTAGCGCAGGGATGGGGGGCCCGGTTCCTCGCCCGCGAGCGGGCTCAGGGTGAGAATAGGAATTGGCTGGGGGGCGAGGCTGGCCCAGACTCCGCCCTCGCCCTCCTTTCGGGGCCCCCCGCGGGGACTCGGGCTGTGTGTGTTGTTTTAATGTCAGGGATGATGTAATCACTTAATAATTGATGCCCCGTGCTGCTTCCCTCCCCACCCCATCCCACCCCACCCCACCCCTGCCCCGCTCCTCCACCTCTCGGCCTCCTTCTGCGGTCGTCGCTTCCCTCAGCGCATCCTCCTGCCTATTTCTGGCACCTCCCTAGCGCTTCCCCCATCCTCGCCTTCACTCTTCCTGTGCCACCACCCACCCAGCCTTCCCCTGTCCCCCTTCTTCCTCTGTCTCCCCACCCCGTCTGCTCCCTCAAGCCCCTTCTCCTCCCTTCCCCGCTCGCTGGATTTCCTCTCTACTTCCCCAGATCGCTGACTGTTTTTTGTTTGGTCGCCTCCCCTCTCTTATCTCTGCGGCCACAGGCGGAGGGGACTGGGCCAGAGAGAGGCCACCGAGGTTGGGCCCAGGCGGAGATTCGCTGGGACACAGTGAGAAGCGGGATAATAAAATCGCCCTTCTTGCCCCTCCTCCCCTTCATAAATCACACAGACTCGCCCGGGTGCGTGTGTGTGTGTGACACAAAGAGCCCTTTCAGTGTACAGAGAGGAGACGCACAAAGTGCCCAAGGATGGGCACGATGCTGCTTCTTTCTCCTCACTGGGGCTTCCCTTTCTCTCAGATAAAGCAGTTGATTTTCTCTCTGAGAGTCTTTCCTGCCACATTTACCAAAAAATAAAAGGCCCCAGATGCTGCAGGGTGGCAGGTGCTGTCATTTTGCTGTATTCATGGACCCAGTAGTGTTGACTGGCAGCTGCAGTACTTCTTAGATTTAAGGGGGAAATGATTCCAGCAGTCCCAAGAGTTGCTTTACTGTCAAGATAGCCTTCCTCCACCTTGCTGTAACCTCCCGTCCTTTGGGGACAGGCACTAAAACACTGGGGTAGGATAAACTGGTGTGTTAGCAGAAGAATCGGGCTTCTGAAGCAGAGAATTAAATTAGTATTTGATACGAGTGAGGCAGCTAGACTTGCTTCTTCTCTCAAGTCTAAGAAGTGCTGAAGTCTTGCAATTGTGGCTGCCCACTGGTGGTGTTTTACCCTTGTATTTAAACAAGTTTCCGGGGGCATCAAGAACCCAGCATTAAACTGGTATTTGGAAGGCCGTGGGAGACTTGTGTCTCTTCCCTGCTTCAGGGGAGTCTTCAACCACCCACATCCTTCCTCTCACCACCCCAAGCGACTGCAACACTTTCCACCCTTTGTGCTCTCTCTCCTGAGTCCCTGCCCCATGGGTACTGTGCTTTCAGATGAAGGGACTCTCAGACTTTTGGAGGAAGTGGTTTGTTAACTATCTCGCGTTTAGTGGTGGGGCGGAGGGGGCACTTAAGTATGAGCCAAGGATGTAGAGAATCTTTTGACGGAACTTTGAACCATCCATTTGGTGTTCCTCTGACAGAGGAGATGTTAATGTAAATCGAGAGGCTTAATATTCCATTTTGTAAGCCAGTGACTCTTACATGCTTAACTGATAATGTGAAAACTCGGGTTGAACCCATTGATTCCTCAGAGCATGGCTCCTTGACTATTGTAAGCAATAGAACTGTCTCAAGTTTGTTTTTCAAGAATTTTATTAGAAGAGTCATGATTCATTAAACATTTACTTCTGCACTTTCTAAGGACATTCGTCGTGGAACTTTTTATATTTAAAAAAAAGCAATAGGGTTAATGGGTGTACTGTAAAAACAAAGGGTTGTTTGTTTGATGCCAGACCCAGGAAGGAAAGTCTGTGCACAATAAGCTCACACTGTGTTGACCAAGCTAAAGAGACTTAATGATAAGGTTGAATGTGAACAAATGCACACTCTGCTTTCTGTACTTTACTCTGTGCTTTGTCCTGGGTCTGGACTCTCCAATCCCATCAGATCTGCTTGGATTCTATTTAACCTTTAGGGCTCAGCTCAAAAGTCTTTGATGCTTTCCTTATCCTCCCCACCAAACAAATCACGACGCCTCCAATTTTGTTTTCAGACTTGAGCAGCAGGCCTAACGTTTGGCCTGTTTCTGTTTCCATCATTAATTGGTCAGCATGTTGAGAGCATGAACCCGGTCTTATCCTGTTTCAATAAATGTGAGTTAGGCTTTGGTATGTGCCAGGCCCTTGGATTTAGTCAACTAACATTAGCAGCTGTAACAAATAGGCCTGCAAAAACATAATTGCTCAAAAGCATAGACGTTTATTATTCCTCATGTAATAGTCCACATTTTAAATGCCTTGGCGACCTATCACTTGCACTTACATCCTGTACACAGAGGCTGGTTATATGGCCACATTTAACTGCAGGGGAGCCTGGGAAATGTAGATTAGCCACGTGACTAAGGAAAAAGACGAAACGTATTTTGGGCCAGCAGCTTTGCCATATGTTGCCACTCAACAAGGCACAGTCCTTGCCCTCGAGGAGTTTGGAGGCTGATGAGCGCTAAATTATGTGGAAACCTGGAGCATAAACCCATCATTGCTTTTATTCTTTTGACTTTGTAAGTTCACATCCTTTTATTTTAAACATGTTTCAAAAAACTTTGCATTTCGCCGGTTCAAGGAGCTAGTTCCCACTCAGGGATTACTTGTGATACAGTGATCTCATGCCTCCCGTGTTGACTTTGATACGGTTCTTTTACTCTAGGAGAACCTTTCTTGGCCTAGTTTTTTTTGTTGTTGTTGTTGATTTTATAGACTCCCCAAGGGGCAAGGAGGGTCCTTAGAAATCACAGTCCTACCTTCTTAATTGAAAGAGGAAATTAAGCAGAGTGCAGAGGAGAAACTTCTTGCTTGGGGCCATGCTAATGGGAAAAGAGCCCCAGCCAGCCCAGCTCTCAGGCCTACCTGGGTCCCTTTCACCCCACAGCTGTCCTGACTTTGTGATTGGGGTCCCCGCCTATTCCGTGGAGATTAAGTGAGCTTCCAGACCCCCAGGAACAGGGCAAACTGCTAGTGTTCTGGATAGTCTCTGTTCTCCACAGGCCTCCAAACTATCGGAGCAATGCTGTCCATACTATTCATCGTACTTAATAATGCACATAGTTTCAGTACAAACAGTTCATTATATTCATCTGTTCTGTAAACATAAGTGTGTTACTGTGTGCAAGGCACTAGGAGATAGGGTCATGGAAATGAATGCTTCTGCTGTTCTTGCTCTTCAGGGGCTCACAGTCTTCCAGAGGAGATAAAAGTAAATAAATAACAGCTGATTTTTATTGAGCATTTACTATGTGTCAAGCACTGTCGAGGTTCTAGTCTTAACAATAATGATCTGAAGTAGTTTCATTTATCGCCATTTCATAGATGGGAAATTGAAGCAGGGGAGGTTAAGTAACTAACTGAAGATCATATAGTTATTAGGGTAGAATCACAATTCAGGCCCAATTAATGTGGTTTCAAAGCTCTTGCTTTTAGCCACTAGGCAATATGCAAAATATTATATATGGATATAATATTAATTAAAATACATTACATGCCATAAGGGGAGGATGACTAATGCTTTGGAAATTGATACTTCTAGTTGTTGTAAAACAACCTTATGTTTATTTATTTTTTTAATGTTTTATTTATTTCTGAGAGAGAGAGAGAGACAGTGTGAGCAGGGGAGGATCAGAGAGAGAGGGAGACACAGAATCTGCAGCAGGCTCCAGGCTCTGAGCTAGCTGTCAGCACAGACCCTGACGTGGGGCTCGAACCCAAGAACTGTGAGATCATGACCTGAGCCAAAGTTGGACGCTTAACCGACTGGGCCACCCAGGCGCCCCAACAACCGTATGTTTAAATGAGAAAAGTTAAAAAATGGGAAAGCAAAGCATGTTGATACTGGAAATACTTTTCCTCTGTGTGATTTCTATTTTAAGCTGTGTCCTTCTGTGGGCCACAGATAGGTCTGTAAGTGTGAATTGTCATACATATTTCATCATTCAGCAACATTCATTCATCATGTCTACCATTTGCCACACACTGAACTGCATCCTTCAGGAGCAGAGGTGTGATCCTGCCCTAAGGAACTTAACCTGGACAAAGGAAATCTCTAACAGTTGTGATTCTAGGGGTCCTCACAAGAGCAAGAGAGCACATAGAAGGGAGCATGAACTCTGCAAAGAGGTGGAAAAGTGGGGGCAGCCAGGTAGAAAAGGTTGGAGGAGGTGTGTTTGAGATGAAGAGTAAGAGTCCTCTAGTAGAGTGTTGTAGGAAGGCCATGGCCCCAGAAGGAGCCGCCCATAAGGCAAAGGCACTTTTGGAAAAATGGAAGTAGTTTTGGAGGGGATCTTGGGGAGGGGTGTTGTAGAGAGACGGACAGAGGAAGGAGACAGGCTAGAGAAAAAATTGAGAATGTTCTTGTAAGTACGGTTGACCTTTGAGCAACTCAGATTTGCTCAAAACATGGTCCACTTATATTCAGATTCTTTTTGATAAATATGGCACAGTATTGGAAATATATTTTCCTTGTGATTATCTTAACATTTTTTCTCCAGCTTACTATATTGTTAAGAATATAGTACATATAGTATATGTATTATATACATATAGTGTATAAAATATGTGTTAATCAACTGTTTATGTTAGTAGCAGTCTCAACAGTAGGCTGTTAATAGCTAAGTTTGGGGAGAGTAAAAAATTATACACAAATTTTCGACTGCATGGGGATTGGCACCCCT